GATCGTTTTATTTAACGTAGACGACGTATCCAGGTACTTATCGTAAACTGACGTATGAAAATTGCAAGGAAGAAACCAAGCTAATTTCTAACGCACAAACTAACATTCTAAACATTCCAATTCAAAGATACAAGTTATACCAATATCTAAGAAAAAGACAAAGAGAACTACAACTTCCAAAAGATAAATGAGCACTGCTTGAGAACGAACTCTAACACAAACTAATAGCCAAGTGAGTAAATCATTTAGCTTTCTAACGTAACATGAACTACGTAAGCCAAATGTCAGCGTAAAACTGGGTGAAACTACCTTACGAAACAGTTCCTTTTGTAAGAGTTTAACCAAACTGACGTCACGATAAGGTGGGCAAAACACCTTCACGATAAACACGACTTATCATGTCAGTTTTACTGGAAAGAATTGCATTTAATGTAATTAAATAAAAGATGTGCGCGTTGGTGGTGATAAGTTTTAGGAGTATGTTTAGCATTCGTCATCATTTCATTACTGATTTTATCATCTGTAATGATAGAATATTATCATTTATTTGATGGTATAGTTACTTCCGTGGATCCCTTCAGCGATAATTCCTTATCTTCATTGTGTTTCTCCACCACAGATCTAAAAACCAGTATCTCTCTACCAAAATATTAATATCAACAAGTGTTTGCATTGATCTAAGGCTTGTTAAGATTTTCGCTCTTTCTCTTGATGTAGACAAGACGAAAACATCGATTTCCCGAAAGAAACGTCTTAGCTTGAGGATGGACAGAAATGTGTATTTCCAAATTGCTAGGTTTAGAACTTGATAGTGAACTGTGGTTCTTTCTCCACGTTGAAAATAATTGTAAAAACTTTCTCAGTACATTGGCTGAAAATTTAAAATAGAAATAAACAGAACTCTGAACTGGATTGATTCAGAGGCCTCGATGACTATCATGTGCTATATTCTTTCTTATATACCTGCTTTCCTACCCATGATGCAGTGGCTTGGGAAAGACAATCTGCTGGTGTATTCGCTTGGACCATTTGGAAATCAACGCTGCTGGCAAATTCTATGCGGCAGAAGAAGGATAACATATCCAGACATATGGGGATTAGTCAGAGAATGTAAATTCATTTTTCAATCGACATATTTTTGGCCGTCACAATAGCTCTCTGATGACTCTAGCATCTCACGCACAATTCAAATAGAAATTGCAATACATATTCAATAATAAGTCGTGGGTAATCAGTTATACATAATTAATGTGAAATTAATCATCAACGCGAGTAAAGAAATTCTTCCTCAATTCGCTCCGGACCACGAAATCAAGCCATGCATGAGTATGCCGGATTACTTTAGTCGCTAATTGCAGTCGAATGAAATTGAAAAAACCAAAAAAAAAAAAATGCGAGCATATAGTACCATTGACAGATATAAATAATTTCCCCTTGTCCACAACGGTCTTGGTAACAACTAGTCTACTCTGGTGGTATCAGGCGAACATTTAATAGTTTTTTAGTACATATGATCTTTGTGCTATTGTTGTTGGTAAAGTTAATTTAAAAAGAAAAATGAAAAAGGCTGTATTTGGTCCATGGTCGATGGCAACTTTTATCGAAACGATGCCCCTTTTTGGCTACCCTTCGTACGAGGAAACTGGCACCAAAGAAATTTTCATTCAATTTTCTCCAACACCTCTTAATAAAATTTTCACTTCGCTGTTTCTTGCATGTTATTCTCGGAGGGGAGGGATATTTTTGCGTTGTAGAGGGGGGAGAGAAGGGGTTCAAATTTTTCTTGACTGAGTACTTTTTCAAACCAATGTGTTGTGCGTGATATTTTTGCAAAATTACAATAAAATATTTATTTAATTTTAATTTCTCACTGATCATCCCCGACATGTACCTACACCCACGAACCACGGCCATTAGTAAAACTCGACCATGGTTTGTCGCACGTATTTTAAAGCACCTAAGAGCGGTGTTAACACTCAGGGCTTTAATCGAAAGCGATATGGGAAAACACGACACAAAATAAAAAAGGAGAAACACCGAAAGGTGTATCAGATTTCCTATATTTATTCAGTGCCATCGTCGGCTACTCCGTGTCTTACATTCATAGATTGACGGCAGTAAGACAAAGGCCAAAGACATATCTTTGTCTTCAGATCTATTCCAGTACTGTAGTCAGTGGGTTTCAATGGCTTTCATAAGCTCTAGGCTCAATAAGAAAGTTACTATAACATTTCAAGATATTTCATTTTGTATTTATTTCATAAGATATAGTGACTAACCTTAGTGAATTTCAATGAACCAATCTAGTCTTAAGGTTAGTTATTGAGTGATCTGTGTATCAAAACAAAGGTGACTGTAAAGCACTTAAGATCAAAGGAAATGGAGCTTGGCGACGGGAAGACTGACAAATCAAAAAGACCTTAATCCCAACGCACGCAGATCACCAGGCAACCATAAACATAATTTTTATTTTTCACATTATTCCAGCAAAACGTTTTCGGGTAAATCAAATGAACAGAGTGGATTCGTTTTAAAAATTAGATGTATGTGTAAAGTGTGACTTTCCAACTTTAGCCTGAGGAAAGATAAGCTGAATATTCGATGAACCAAGATACACCTACGTAAATTTTAAGTTTGTAAATAGAGCAGGGTCCAACAGCTGTGTGAAGCCTGTTTTCGCCTTATCATTGGCACTAGTGTTAAAGGGAGAAGGCGCCGTCTAAGTGATCAAGAACTGAAAGTCGTGCAAAAATGGAACAAAAATCTTTGATGGTAAATAGTTTCTTGTCTTTTATAAGACTCCTAAAGTAATCTACCATTGTTTTTGTGTGCCAGCAGGATTAAAAGCTAATAAGTAATACATACATCAAGTTCTTCGCGAATTAGTTTACACGTTCTTCACCAAATGCGGATAGCAGCTTAGTGGTGCTTAGCATTTCAGATCAATGAAGTTTTTGCTATAGTGCGACTTTCTTATGACGCTTGTTTTGTAATGTTGTCAGTTGGAAAATTCATCGTTTTCTGTCAAACGACATATTCTAGTAAGTTTCAACGATCGTCTTTGACATAACAATCTTAACCAAATCGAAAACGTGAAGTAAACAAACTGGCTGGTGTTCCCGTAAAGCCCGCAGCAGCTCAGTTTTACTCTAAAACTTGTGTTTGTCAGGAGTCAGGCGAGAAAATAAAAACATCAGTCTTACTCTCGGAAGACGATAATCTTTGCATAGTGAAAGAAGGCGATCACGAGACGAGGCTAATTACAGCTTGAGACTAGTTTTCAGGTATAAACACCGGGCTGAGAGAATAAAGGAAATTTTAAATCTGTTAAAATCAAATAGCTGTAGTTTTTTTGAAGTTTCCACTTAGGTGATTAGAGGAATACTATCTTGATTTTATATTTCGACTTCGGTTCAATGCTATTAACAAACTTCCAGGTGGGAGAGGTGTTTTCGTCTTACTTTATTCGTCTACATTAGAATTAAGATATCGTTATTAAAAAGAAAAAAATTTTAAATTTAGGTTATTCACATATTTACTAATAACGACTTAGTAAGGAAAAGACAAGATCTTTGACTCATTTGAATTTTCATTCCCCTTTTACCATCTATTGTCATTCGCCATAAGTTTTAAGATCTTGATGATCATGATGACCTTTCTTTCTATTTATCTTTCTCAGATCTAGAACCCTACCAAGGAAGCGGATCCTTTCAAGTGGGCTGGTAGCGTGCCACATTTGAACCTGGTGTATGCTGTTTAGCTTTGTAGCACCCACTCTCTTGGTAAGAATGGACGCCCACGTTTTGAGTTGTTTCAGAATGATATGATGTCTTTCCTTAATCGAGGACTGACCGTGTGTTCTTCTGATATTCCTCTGATGCAACCTTATGAGTCAGTTTACACAGGCAGAGCGTAATCGTAATTATTACAATTCAACACTTGAATCTGATCTCAATCTTTGGCCAAATGTTGGTTGCATCGCTGAAGAATTGGCTGTGACAATATTTAAACACCTGGAGATTGAAGATTTTCTCCTTACATTACTTTATCTTCTAATGAACGCAATAGACAGCGAAGATGTTTGTTTTTTTAGTCTATTTGAGGAAGAGCTTACGGGTAAGTCTGTCTGAAATGTATGAATACATTATATACACAAGAATAATTTTGATGACGATGAGGTTGCACAGCAGAGGCTGCAAGATTCGGTAGTGATATGATCACCAATCATTTCACCAATCTTTATTCAGTGGTTGTTCTTTGAGTTCTCCCAGCCTCTTCTTTTTTTTCTTTAACAGTGACCGTCTTTACGATTACTAAAAATGAATTCTGATCATCGAGGCTCAGAAATCGTTATTTCTGACTAGCATTTCTATTATACATTTTTCCTAAGGACGTTCTAATTTTGAGAACCTGTCAATTATTTCCCTTTGGAATTTTGTAAACCTCTATAAGAGTTCGAATTTATAGCAGATGAATCTACCAGCAGCCAACAGTGACAGATGAGTTTTGAAATAAATAAGAATGCCTAAAATATGTATCCGCTACGCTCAAAAATAATCATACGCTGCTTTGAAGATGGTTCGGCAACTATGGCGTGCTACTCTTAAATCAGACAATAAACGAGGCTGGGTAGCCGTAGAGAAGACAGCACTATCATTGCACCTCGGGGAACAAGTGGAATTTCTACGAAATTATGATTCACAGTCCATTTGAACGGTAATATAACTTGTCTTAATAGCGACAATTAGGGTTTTGTTCCTCAATTGAGATGATATACTTTGTCGAATTGCTTAACAAAGCAAATATAAAATTTAGCGTGAGCTTTTAACAGATGTGCATCTATTGGTACACCTGTAATTATTTCCACTTAAATATCTGGCTGACTTACTGATTTCGCCTGAAATTTGAGACTATAGTAAATGCGGTACTATTTCGACTTAGCAACTATGCTTAACACTTGTTATATACCCTCTATAATGTGCAATTATTTTCATTTATAGGAATTTTGTTAAACCATTTTGCTCACCACCTCACATTTTCAATTTGGTGCTTAACTGAAGAAAAGAAACTAGTATATGAAGGACTATAACACGATGAACAATTCAAGTAACATATCTCTTCAACACCCTACAGCGTTCCATCAACCGAACTATAAATTGGCCTCACAACTTGTTCCTATTGCCGTTTCAATCATCATAGCGAATGGAGTCGTGTTTTATCTTTTCGGCAAAATGAGGAGTCTGCGCACTCCTGCAAATTATTTCTTGCTGAGCCTTGCTATAAGCGACATCATGACGGGGCTGATAAATATTCCATTGCTCCTGGTTTTGGTTCATCTGTCTCCGCTTAGTCCGTCGTTTACTGTGATGTACTGCACCTCAGAAGTCTTCCATAACGTAATTTCAATTTCGATAGCTTACCACATCACTGCTATTACTATGGACAAATATCTCGCCGTTGTCAACCCCTTTGGACGTTTCTTGATGACCAGGAAAACAGTGAGGAAGGCATTATCATCCGTATGGCTTTGCTCAGCGTTCTTGGGGTCAGTACCTGCAACTTGGTGGGATTCATGGCTCGCAGAGGACTCTTTCGCTTTATATTTACAAGCTGGACACATTATTTTCTGTCTTTGCGTGGTGTTTTTTGTTCCGTATATGTTTATCCTTTATGCCTACGGCGTTATGTTCAAAGCAGTGTCTATGAAGCGGTCGTCAAAAGAATCATCTGGCCAGAAAGATTCTCGCGCATTTAAGAAAGCTAACAACGAAAGGAAATGCCTCATTATTCTGCTCGCAATGGCGACTGCTTTCGCGATTTGTTGGATACCTTGGTTCACTTTAAGATTAATTTACGCTGTCTCCACGACTGGATGGATAGATATCAAAGATCAGGCTTCTTTTACAGAAGCATCCCAAATGTTTGTCATCATCAGATATATCAGCTCTGCCGTTAATCCTTTATTGTACACATTCTTCAAACAAGACTTTTGGAGTGCTTTTAAAATTGTTACATTGAAAAGGAATTCACGGATTCCATCCATGACTCCATCAATCAGACTAACAATAACACAAAGATATCGAGGCGCAGAGAAACACGAGAACCATCTAGTAAGGGACAGCATTGACGAAATTCAACAATCAGCCGTCTAAACTGGAACCTTAGTTGTATTCATCAAGGTAGTAATGAAAACTGGGCACCACCATGAATATTACCCTCCAAATTAATATCACCAAGCTTCTTTCCACACAGAAGTTTAAATGGATACAGGAAAAGTGTAAGGGTCATACGACGTAATGCAGAAAGCAACAAAAACTTCTAATCACATCATTTTAGTGAAAAGAGGAAGAGCCCTGGATTTGACCAATAATTATTTGTTAACACGATACTGATCTGTATTTCACTTGTAAAAAACTGGGACGAAGAAATTAAGTCAAAATAGTGCCAGTTTTAAAAGTGTTTCGAGAAAAAAAGTTGAGCGTGCGCATTCTCAAAAGAAAGCATGGAAACTCTGGAAAATATATATCATATATCACTTTATAATAAATTTCGGAAATAACGCACTCTGCAATTGTTTGATAGAGCGTGCTGTATCAGAGTACAGAACCCGGAGCTTCTCTCTGGCTTATTTTCGTTAATTGCAAATGAACTTTTGAAACTAGCCAGCCGGCAAGTAGCGACAGAAGAACAAAACAAAGGTTTGTAAACATGACAAGCGCCGTAACTGACGTTATCAGAATGATCAAGCAGGAGGACGGGAACGTCAGTTGACAACGGAAAGCGCAGCAAAAATATTGGAAAGAAACTGGGTCGAGAACGTCGCCCCGTTGTCTCAGAAGTGACGTAGCAGTCGTTGCAACGAGGCGTCAACGTCAAGTTATACTGATTCTTGAATATCCAAACCTTGGCTCTATAAAGTTCACCTTCAACCATTGAATTTTCAGTTTCATAGACCACTTTAAGGAAAACGAAATTATCTTCTTTGAGAGTTATGCAGCAAGCGCAAACAGAGGATAGTTATAGCTACGGTAAGTAGGTTGTTAATATGAATCCACATGGGCGATTAAATTTGAAATTATTACATTCCAGTTAAGTCTCGGGTCTGTTGATAGCGTAAGCAGAGACGAATAGCGTGCATGCTGTAAAATTACGTCGGTCTTGCCTTTCTCCGATGCTTTTTTCACGTAAATTATTATCAATTAATAAAACGATCTCTCTATCATAAAAAATAGCACAATTTGCCGAGCTTGTCTTTTCACAAAGTTTCAATTTCAGGGATTTTTTTCGACTCGCAAATTTAGATCACCAATTCAAGAGCACAAAGCACATAAATTTTTTGACAATTTTTTTCACGTTAATTTTTTCTCTGTTTGACATCTACTTTTCCGCTACCATTATGACCTGAAATATGCACTTTTTAATCTCGGCTCAGCGAGGGTAGGAGAGGGTAGAGGAGCATGGAAATATAGGGGTCTCTGCCATATTCAGAAGAGATTCGCACTCACTAGAAGAAAGCCGTGATGATAGAGGGCTTTCTTCATGTTCTGTGTTGTCCTCACTCTTCGAATCCTCGTTTTACGGCTTTTGAAAATCCTTGGAAGGTATCATTAGCCGGTGTTTCGCGATTGCTTGTTTCACAAGGTAATAGATAAAAGGTAATCTATACCTAGTTTTTACCTAGTAATAGAATCGCTTTCGTAAGTCGAAATTGGCCTCATGGTCGTTCATTTACTTGTTCTTTGCAATAATCGTTGGCTCAGAAGTTGACTGGCTGTTGAAAACTATCCCTAATATGACTAATATGGTTGTGGCTGTTTGGATTCCAGCACGACCTTTTAAAATTTTTTTTTGGTTCCTTTGGAGATTTTCGTTTCTGTTTGTTCCTCCCAACAAGTATAGACGAAAAACATCCCTTTGTGATGTTTTTTTTATAAATTTTGCAATCTCGCCAAAAGTCCTCTCTGATACAACTGATGCCTTTATAAGCAGCGGATCCCCTCGAACTTTCATAATTTCGGTAAGCTGAAAGATCAATTGTTACTTACACTACTTATAATAATTCCTAAGTCATGTATATAGTATTATAGGATGCAAATCGTTTGATTCTTTACTCTTTTTTTTGAGTAGCGTGTAGTAATAACGATACTGTAATAAAAATGATAGTTGAAAAAAATGGTTTTGTTTGAAAAAAGCTCAAGGCTGCAATAAAGTGCGTAACTGGTTGAAACCTCAACTGAAAACCACTCTGTTCACATCAAGTTATAGCCATGACTTATTGACCTTCATGTTTGGCTATGTCGTCTCCTTCGTCTGCTGTAATATCCGAAATATTTTCAAGGTCTCCCCTGTTGGGGACTCTAATAATAGTTTGTTGAACAAATCATTGGAAATTTGGTTTCGGGATGGCCCTTCTCAAAACTTGTTTTATATTCGTCTGCGTTAACCCGGCAATGAGCTAAAGTTCCATCCCTGACATTGCACGGAAGTCATTTGTAGAACTCCAAGGTGCTCGGTTTCCACCGTGAAAACAGTACCCAATTCATCTTTTTTAAGTTTTTTAGAATTTGTGCGACTATATATGCTACTTGACACTAGTGCCTGCTGAAAACAAATCGTGCGAGCAGCATGTTCACGAACGTTCCATTCCGGGTTAACAACTTGGTTGCTGTAGATGCGATGCGGTTTTCCTTATCGTCACTGTCTTCATTTTCAAGCTAGAAATAATACTCACAGATGTAGTTATCACATATTTTAAAACATAGAAGTCAACATTTGTTGGCGTAAACCTTTTTCGCTAAATATACTTTTTAACGCTCAAAGCCTAAAGAAACCTACCCACCTGGTCAAGAACTTTGCGCTGTTCCATAATGTAATCTCTTAAGTTCATTCCGTTAACTGCACCCTCTCTCACCTTTCTCTCAGCTTTGCATATGTCGGATAGAAGCGTTTAGGCTGGCTGTAACAAACAACTGAAACTCCTGGATTCTGAATGACTTACGAAAGCGTTTGTTAAATTATAATGAAATATTGTTCATTGGATTGTCATTATTTTATCATTTTATCTTTTTTTTATCACTTAATTTTGCTTCATCTGATTTCACCAATCGATCCCATGGCTCAAATCTAATTCTTACGAAAATTTTGAAATCTTAAAATCCGGAGACAGAACGATTCTCCGGTTAAGCACTAAAAGGGTCGATGGAGGGATGGAGGAGGACTTTCCTATTGAACATATCGACCCGCTGGCTAAAGTCTCATGAAATGAAACGTTGTTGCCCATCCAGGCCTTGCCGACATGTTTCTTTTCCATCTCGCCCGCATATAAGGCTTACAACTGACAACAGCTGAACTATTAAATTCTCATTGATTACTTTCATACCTGGCGAGCGGACTTGTCTCCTCTTGTGTACACCCAAGTTGCACCGTGAGATAGCTGAGTAAGCCTCCTTACATCAAGCCTATTTTTATTCTTTACTCCCAGGATTTGCTCGAAAAACTGAGATACCTCTTCTTTCCCGACAATTGCTTTGTAGCCTAAACTAGTCCTGAGTTGTTTGAACAAAACTGCTCGGTGTAGTCGTCCGCAAAAAGCGTACTGCTGCTCCATTCCTCCACGTGTGTCCACATCGGCTGCAAAAACTCATTTTGAGTGTTTTCGGTCGATGTGGAGGTTAAGCTTTTCTATAGTTCTGATCAAGACCTGCGGAAATTAACACAAGATTTGCATTATAAAAATTAGAACATGTTTAAGGAATGAGTTAAATTGAAGATAAACCAGAGATAAAGATTTACAAAGAAAATAGCATTAAAAGACAGAAAATTGAAGAAGAGAAGGCATCCCTAAGGTTCTGCCTTTTCCATAAATTAAAGGAAGTTAGTAAAGGTGTTTACAGGTATAGCAACTTGGAGATATAAACAGTTCATTAAGTCTTCAATCCCCGAAAGAAATTGTGGATTACTTAAATTTATAAATAGGAATTCTTCCCGAATCGTGAATTTGGCACAAGATGATATCGAAATATGGGCCAAGAACGATATAAAAAATACAAGAACGCAATTTGCATGAAGTTCCTACGCAGAAATTCACTTAATTAAACATAAACGAATGACAAATTCGAAAAACACAACTTAAAGAATAAAGGTTTTGTCTCTTGCACATACAAAATCCTATTCTGGTAGACATTATCAACTGTTTCGTCTTTCTTTTTCGTTAACCCTTATTTCAGAGAAGCAAACACAAAATGAAATCCGTAGTCTTTTCTGGGGCTCTTCTTAAAATTCCCGATGACAATAACTCGATAACAACACTTTTATATCAGTGACAGCTCTATTGGCCCTGGATAGCATGCACAAATTATTACAAGGCTGCTAAGAAATGAGCAATATCCGTAACAAGCTGACCAATTCTTCACGATCATATCATGAAAACCTCCAATCAGCGCTGCACATCATTGGTTTTCCAAGTTATTTTTGTCATCGCAGTGATAGGTTTCTTCATAGGACATGAGCACTACACGTCAAGACAAATAAAGAACATTAATACGTTTTTGTGCGTCTTTGGTTCCTTTGTCAAAATCTTCATCTTATCCTCAAGGAAGCTTGCCAATAATTTGGTGACCCATAATTTCTATCTTAACTTGTAGATAACACAACAGGCTCCCCTTTAATTTTGAAGCAATTGGAAACATAATGAAACACCTGGAAAATTTTGGGGTGGAAGGGGGCCCATCCCTTACCTTGTTCTACGGTGGAGGTATCAATCAACAGGGATGGTGCAGTGGTGAGAACGCGCGCCTCCCATTGCTGTGGTGTGGGATCAATTCCCAGACCTGGTTTCACATGTTGGTGGAAGTTGTTTTTGGTTCTTGTCCTTGCTGCCAGAGTTTTTCACCGGGTCCTCCGGTTTTCTTCCCTCCACAAAAAACCAACACTCTAAATTTCAATTTGATCTGGAAACAGCCGACAAGAAGAGCCACTTTGTGGATTGTACACTGCTGAATTCACATCATTTATTATTATTATTATTATAATTATTATTATCAACGTTACTATCTCTTCTGTCACAGTCTTTGCTGGTGTTCTTTTTGTGCATCAGCCGGGCGCAAACCATGCACCTAGGGCATCAGTCATCCAAGTCAATCATTCTGATCAT